GTATGTTATATTAAGCAAAAGAGTTGACACTTGGACTCTATTTCTTAAATAATCAAATGAAACCATCAGTGAAAAGAGAGACATTATGAATAAGAAGACTACTTGAAAAGCATTATACCAGATGAGCAGACAGTGAGGAAAATATTAGGAGATTTGTATAGAAAGTGTGGAAAGTTGATATAGATAATGAGAAGAAAACGTGAGGAAAAATCAGAATAAAAACCAGCGTGCTCTCAATGCTAGCTTTGATTTATTTATAAATGTAATATCTACTGTCTGTTAATGACTTACATGCCTTCTGGCCTGTGTTAGTACTGTAATGTTGACTGATGTGAGATCAAAATCTGCCTTCTTCTCTCAAGGTAGATGATTTATTACCACAAGTGAAATGAGATCAGAGTAATTACTCTATGTGGCAAAACTGTATTAAGAATTTCAATTCTAATTTTCAGAAGATTATATTTAAAACAAAGCCACAATGTAAACGCTATGAGCGATTTTATGGATAGTAACGTCAAATATGATGACTGAGGAATAGAGAAAATGAATGGAATCGAGATAGATTCATGATTATATGGTACGAATGGCTAGTACACTTAGGTATGTTGTTGTTTTAATGATTCTTTGTGTTCTTGGACTCTTTAGATATTCAAAGAATAATATAAGATGATTACTAAGGTTATCTCACTGCAGTAGTGTTTTGAAGAGTGGTCTGTGGAACTTGGGTGAGCATGGAAGGTATACTGAAAGTTGCTGAAGTCTCTATTTTTCAGAGCCTTAGAGTTGTGATTGCAGCAAAGAGTGGATTGATTCTCCATTCATAAAGACGAGATAGACTTGTATTCCAAGTTTTTCTAAAGGAAGGCTTAGGTCAGTAACTTCCTGGAACGACTTTCTGATAGCACTTCAGTTTTCAAGTCTAAAATACAACTCAGAATTATAAACTATTTGGGGAGGCTCTGCAAAGAGTAATAATAAAGGGGAGGCATGAGGAAACAGAGCAGCTGTGCTTGGGAGAGTCTGTCATTTTGACGTTATTTGACTGTTTCTTCAAGGATAAGAAAACAGTTGCTAGCCCAAATTGGACACTTTTGTTTTAGTTAGCAAATGGAATGAGCTTCACAATCCATGGAACAGCTTCCCATAAATCACAAATTTGTATAGATGCAGAAATTCTATCTAGCACATTCCTAGTCATTCTAATGCCAAAGTAAGTCAATCAAGTTATAATTGGTCCTAATTAACTTGGCACTGCCACAAGTTACTTCATTCTTCACCTGAAGCTGGATTGCATATTTCATTCTTGCTAAAGAGAACACCCTGGTAGTCCTAAAACAAGAAAGATTGCCTGACAGTGTAAAACAGTGGAAGCAGTTGACTAAGTCAGAACAAATCTGCATATTTAAATGATCAAGACAGAATGCATACAGGACTCACCATGGAACATAGAGGCAAAGCTTTGTGATGTTTCATGAACCGGCAGATGGAGGTTTGATAAACTTCATAGAACAGAAAGATCCTTGCTATATGTGATTCCATGGTCACAAGAGTATTTGCCATCCTCTGTCGCTAAGCATCCTCCTCTGTTTATCTGCGTGTTTTACCTGCCATGATGCGAAAGTAATCAACAGCTTTTTTGTCTGTGAAATCTCCCTTTTTGTTTTTCCATGTGTTCTCCTTGTTCATGCAGGAAAAGAAGGTGATTTTGAGTAAAACTTTTTTTTTTATTTTAAAAAGTAAGGAAAAGCTGTGTTGCACTGTCAGAAATGCAGTGTATTAGGAACACAAAAAAGGGTTCTTGCAGATCCAAGATAACAAGCTTTTTTTTTTTTTTCTGGACTGTACTGAGTGGAAGGCTGTATCTAATTATAATCTCCCATCATCTTTCTGAACAACATTTTCTGTATCTGCCATGACTTCTTTGGGATGAAAGAGGAAACTCTCCTGTAGAAAGTATAAGGAAATAACTAAGTTTATCCCTAAGAGAAAATGATGTCTGATATCTTATGAAAATAAAATCTCCGTTTTTGATTAAATATGAACAATGGCATTTAAGACTAGGTCCTGTAGGTATGGCTTCTCTTGATGACAAATGGAGAAGAGTTGGATTTAAAATAAAAATTAAAAAGCCACCTTCAATTCCAGAGTTGTGCTTAAGACTAGGATCTTACTTTTAGGAATATATCCCCATGGGATATATCCCCCAAACTAGCATGTTTTGAAGACTTGGGAAATCCTGAACTTATTACTTATAAGAGTCTGGAGCTCTTACAACTCTGGAAACTTGATTCACCATGGGTTCTGGGTTTTTGCTTTTTTTCAGACTTAGTTTTAGAAAATTCAGCTATTCTAACAGAGGAAATATTTGATGCAGAATATATCATTATTTCCTATCTGTGAGAATGTTGTATGAAAAACAGGCAAATGTTAGCATTCTTAACAGCTGGGACTTTGTCTAAGTTCATATTTACAAATAGGCAATATTATGTGTTAACATTATCTAGTTGATGAAAGCTTTAGAGGGGAAAAAAAAAAAAAGTACAATTCCCTATTGTAACAGCAGTGTATTGACAGTAAGGAAACCTCTGCTTTCTCTGCTGGATACTAGTAATTAATATCTTGCTGTCTAATTAGAGTCTTTCCTTCTCATTTGGATGCTGATTTCTTAAGCACATGTCCATGATGCCAGCATGCTCTGTGTTTGAGTAGAACAGAACATCTGGCTGCCCACCCAGTAATGTAATATAGGAAGGCAGGCATTTCTAGGGAGATCTGTTGCATTTATTATGGGCAATAGAAACTTTGAGATGCAAGCTTTACATAAATGTGGTCTATCGTATATTATCTTCAAAATATGAAGAAGTGAAAGTTGCTGTCTCTGATGCTTCTGTACCCCTCACAGGGCTTATTTTAACACTTTAAATTTTAACAGTGTTAAACATAAGTTTTCTGGGTAACGTTATAGCAGATTTCTATTTTGATCTGAAAAACTGAACTATAACTAAAATGAAATTGAAGTTCTTAAAAACTTGCAGCAAAAAAGAAATGCTTTGCTGGAATATGGTTAAGATAATTATCTTTTCAGACTTAGAAGGGCAGATATAATCCCAAGCCTTTCTCAAAAACCGAACTCTGATACATTTGAGGAACTAAATTTCATATAATTATTGTGATGCTTCAGATGCTATTAGTTTAGGTTTATCTTGTACTTTGCTTTCCATCCTCAAGGTAGTTGTGCACATCACAACTCTTGTGTTTTCTGTCCTTACTCTATGCAGGAGTGGAGAGAGAGAGAGAGAGAGAGAGAAGAAATAAGTTTTTTTTCCTGAAACACCAACCGGTTATCAGTTATACCAACTGCTTTTCTCCTATTTCACATAGGTAGTGGAATGGATATTGTTGGAAGGCAATCAGTTAATCTGTGGAAGCTATCCTTAATTGCAAAGTACGTAGGTATGGATACAATTGCTAGCTTTCAGAGTTTCCCAATGGAAATAAAGAATGGGTCTCCTAAAAATCCTGAAATGGATTGTGTCAATGATATCAAGATGATATATTTTATATTAGGCTTTGTTTAATCTGAGAGGTCTCTAAATGAAATCTTCAGTCTGATCTAAAAGTAAAGGGTTGTTTAGTGAAAGGCAAAAAAGGCACTTCATCCTCATATGCCTCAAGAACTGATTTTACATGAAACTTGACAGAGTTTTTGATGATAATGTGCATAATACAGCAGTGCGATCTACTAAAATTTATTAAAACTACATTTTTAGAGAAATTGCCAAGTTCACAAAATGCTGTTGTAAATATCACTTTACATAAGCGCATTAATGATCAAATATTAGATTACCCTTTTGTGATATTTTCTCAGCTTTAATTTTTATTTAATTGAAACAATATTAGTAGTGCTGTAACATTTAGAAGAATGGCTGTTGTAAGGTCATGTGCTGTTTACCCAAAAGTACATATTTGTCCACTAAGCTAATATTTTTAAGACACTGTAATATTAGCTGTATTTATATACATTTTCAGAGACTGTGCTAGAGTAGAACTGCAAGGTTTAAAAAAAATATTGCAGAAAAATATATAATAATGGAATTTGCATTGCCATAATATTCTCTGATGTAATTTTATCAGCTTCCTACTTGGAAGATAAGACTTGAATAATATTTCATGAGAAGTTAGGGAGCTTTTCCATACGCTTTTGTGTATAGTTTGTTTTCCTGATCAAATACAGAGTTTTAAGTACATGTTTTAAGATAAATACTTCACAGATGTGTTGCAAATACAAACAGTGCTCTCCTTGAGTGTCACTGTTTTTTTAACAATATTTATATGCTTCATTCATGTTTTTCATTCTGTAAGGTAGAAATGCATCCTTTCTTTGTAGGAAAATAAATCTGCCATATTATAAGAATTACTCAGTGGTCCTAGTAGATCTCTAGTTATGTAAGGTTCCCTGTTGAGTTATGAAGAGATACCCTCTTTCCTGTCACACTGAAATGTTTTTAGTGAACTACTACTTTTTTTTTTTTAACACAATTATCGTGGTTGGAAAAGGATTTATTAGGTTATTTTGACTTTACCCTGACAGTAGATGATTATTTTTTTTTCCGATTTATCATCTGGCATAGTGCATTAATCTTGTTATTTTACTAATCTTTTATTTTAATGTCAGGTTTTTCAAATCATATTTTTTTTCTAATGCTCATGAATCACTTTCCTTAGACATTTATAAAAACTATATTTGATTTTATCAGGGGCAAAGTTATTTTTTTAATAAATTAATGCGGTAATATTCATGTAATCCAAAAGATGCTCTCAACATTCTTTTCATTGTTTGTAACATTACAAGTGATCTGTGACCTCTTACGCTTCCTTCGTCTGGTACAGAGTACTCCTGTCCCACACAGTAATTCAGAAATCAGTTGTTCACATAAACAGCTTCTGAATATTCCATCTGAACTATTTTACTGAAAAGGGCGGTGGTTCTCTTTCTCCAGCTGCCTTCATTACAACTATCCTTTGGAAGTTCTGCAGTAGATATCTTGGTGTTTTTTTTCTGCCCTTGGACTTTCCCTGAACAGTGCCTGACTCACATTCATCTTGGTCTAATGTGTATATCCTACCTTTTTCCTAAGATGATTCTGAGAGTAATCTTGGAAACTTCCAGACATTATTTTTGTCTTAATAAAAGAATTAAATTCACCTTAACTGTGCTAGTGTTGTGTGATGAACGCATTCTTATTCAGTTCCCCCATTATGTCCTTTATTTTGTGCAATCTCATTTTCCTTTTCCTCCTTAACATGATTTTTCTCAAGTTCATGTAACAATAGGAATTGATCAGCAGGACTTCCTCTCAATATGTATGCAGGAGAATGTTGTCTGCATGTGTGTGCATTAAATTCCTTGTATTAGAGAAGGAAAAGCCTATTTCTTTCAAAAGTAGCATCCTTGTAGAATGTTATCAATCCAGTTAAAACATTAAATTTTTCAGACTTTAAGCACTCCTTTCAAAATCCATTTTATTCCACATGTTCTCTTCAGTTATTCAGGAAACCTTGGAGATATGACTTAGCTAGAATGCCATTAGCTGTGAGCTGTCTACTCTTTGTCCCTTTTCTTTCTGGGATTTTTCACTGCATCATTCTGGTGGGTAATCTGTGGTAAATGTAACTTCTGGAAAAACTGTCTTACACATATTTATCCTTAATTTAAATAATTCATTAAAAGCAAGATTGGTCTCCTGAGGGAAGTGTACGTACTTTTCCAGTACCATGTATTTCTGCTTTTTGCTGAAAGCTGTTACATTTGCTTTTAACTACACTCAAATTATTTTAGTAGAATTAGGTCCTACATGCACATTCTTAACGTATCATAATAACACTTCCTTAGCCTCAATTGATTTGTACAAAATTGGATGGAAGACTTTTACTACTTTGCTGTCTTCAAGTTTATTTATCCCAAGATAAGTTTTTAAATACTGAGAGAAACATGGAAACAACCATTCATTTATCTTCTGGGATGATTAGTTTATCTTCAAGTTTAAGTGCTTTAATACTGAGCAACTGCAGAGATTTGTGTGGTACTTTGATACTGTAATCAAAGTTATTCTCTAAAGGCTGATTATGATGATAAACTTCTCAGATTGTAGTGATTCTTGTAAGAATAGGAATACCTTGAACTGTGAGATCTATTTCTATGTTGAAAAGTACTCATTATATTGTAATTGTTGAAGACACATTTGTTGATCGTATTAAAAATAAAACTTTTTTTCCCCAGAAGAGGGAAGTTTTTAATTTCATTTTATTTACAAGGGAGAAACATTGGTAGACAGTAATGAATAGATATAAACTTCACAAGTGATATGTGAAGCATGGGGACTCAGACAATCTGATAATTCACTTAAGTGTAGCACAGATAAGATGTGGACTGTCAGATGAAACCTGGTAGGAATCAGTTTGGTAGCTTCTGCTATATGGAAAATTGCATCTAACTTGAGAACTTTATTAGTTGGAATTGGAGTTCACAAAAGTTCTAGGGGAAGGATCTCATGCTCTTCTATTCTTGTTGTATTCCCTAGGCCTCCTTGGACATTGTCACAAAAATGGTTCTGTCTCATTCAGTGTTGGCTTTTGTGAGCACAATGGAAATTTGATTCATTTAAAGAAAAAAATGTTTACGCTAGTAAATTGAAGGTGTCTTGCATCTTGTACTTTTTCAAAACTCTCAGAGGAAGAAGCCTCTTCAACAAATATGAAACTTCAGTAAACCATCTTAAAATTTAAGGTTGAAAGGCATTGTGTTGGAATTCACAACGACTGCAATAATCTCCACTCTTTAATTCTTGTTCCCAAGCTAATAATTGTAGGAAGAAGATGCTACTGTTTCATAACTCAGTGTCTTCAAATGTATGTTGTGACGTAGCAATAAACTGGTAAAACCACTGCAATACAAAAATGGCTGACTATGATTACGTCTAGGGTTAACAACAAAGCCAGAGAAATAAGGGATCATTTCTGAAAAATTAATAATAAAAAGTGATTATGACTTTTTCTGTTTAGTAAATATAAATTTGTCCATTTTGCACACATTCCTTCTGTCTTCATACATACCCAGCCATGATCAGGGGATGACTCATTCCAAATTTGAGTTCTATACTGCAGTAAAATTTTTTAAATTATAAGCAAGTCTTTAATGTTAGTCATTTTCATCTTCATGGTTTAAAAACATGAAAGCCAGTGTTTGTATTTATGTCTGTAAATTCAAAAGTAATACCTCCTATTTCAATGGCAATCACAACAGCTACAATAACTACAATAATACTATTAGATAGGGGGAATTCTCAGTTATGAAATGCTGTTTTTCAACACAGCCTAAGATATGATTTTGGTTAGGGTGCAGATAATATTCTTTGTAGAGCCTTACTTCATGCTGTGCTTTAAGTTTTGATGAATATAATAGCAATAATCCACAGACATTTTTAGTTCTTGTGGAGCAGTGCTCATTCAAAGATGTTTTGGTTTTTCTTTTGTTTCTCATACTGCCCTGCCAGTTAGGAAGATGGGAGGGGATACAAGCGCAGCTGACCCAGACTGACCAAAGGGATGTCCCTTAGCATATGGCATATACTCAGCCATAGAATCTGGTGTACAGATGGAGAAGGTGAGAGACATTCAGAGTGATAGCGTTTACCTTTCCAAGAAACTGCTCTATGTTATGAGCCCTGCTTCCCTGAGAGTGGCTGAACATCTGTGTGTTGCTGGGAAACAATGATTGAATTCCTTATTGTTTGTTCTTTACCTAAAAAATTGTGCAGGTTTTGCACTTTTACCTTTGAGTCTTTTCTTCATCCTACCTAGAGAAATTAGAATATAGCTTTGTATATTTTTTTTCTGTTTACTGGTAGGAAATCAAGAACTGGTAGTATCCATGTAGAGGTGAAAAAAAAAAAATCACCCCAGTTTGAAGTTCACCGCTGCAGTCTTTCTCAGTCTGCTCGTTAAAGCTTACGTTCAGCTAAAAGGATAAACACATACAGTCCCTGCTAAAGCTAAATAGCATTTGTGCTCATTATTGGTTACTTTTAGTTCATTAATTTTACATTTCATGGAGTACCATTATTTTTGTTATTATAACTCCTTTTCTTTGTGTATGTATATGAAGGAAGTATTCATAACAGCAGTTTTTGCCCATTTTGGAAGGATCTATCTCCATTTACTTCAAGAAGATGTTAACAGTGAAATATCTTGATGATCTCTTGGGATGGCTTAAGTTTATAGGCAGGGGAAGACTTGCAAGCAGATCTAATATCTAGCTGATACAATTGGAAAAATATTAGAGTTATTGTTTTTAATTTCTATTCGAATCTCAGTACATTAATTTCTGTAACGACTCCAGAAGAACTAATAATATGTGGCATCTATCAGCGTATTTATTTTGACTAGGAAGTGTTTCTGTATTAGCAGCCAGACTGCATGCTGTCCACCTAACTCTGTTTTTGACTAGCCTTTATGTCTTTCCATCAAGATTGACGGGCTCACTCCCTAATTTATATTGGGAAGCAACAGGAAGGTCAGATCTAGTTGTAAAGCATAACGTGTTGCTGTTTCATTTAATGACTTAATATGTAATACTTTTTCTTCTGTAATGTGTTACGTAGTACCTTATTATGTAATGCTTAATGAAACAGAATGTGCTCATTTTCATTGAAGAAGAGACTGTGGCTGAAAAGCAGGGATGAAGGCAACTTTGTCTTCAGAGGAAATTGGTACTTTGTTTTTATCTTGCAATTATGTTAAAGTCTTCCTCATTGGCTTTAATAAGATTAAGAAAACTGAATTCATCTTGTCTGTAGCTGCGCAAAGTGCTGAGGTTGTTATTTCTTAGAGAAAGGACACATGTAATTTCAGTGGGTGAGCTAGGGAAAGACTTCATTCCAAATCTGCTGCTTGACAGTAACTACCTGCTTTTCCCCTGTAGTCAATGTTGAGTAATTCATGATAGTTCAGGCCCTTGATGAAAGCAAGTTAGCTCACCTCCTGTATTTACCAGTCTTCTCACGTACCAGGAATATGTTTGCGGGACTTTGACAAGCTGAGTTACCAGTGGAGCAGGAAGAGCCCCTCTGTCTGAACCTGATTTGTTTTTTGACCCTTTAAATCACTGCTACTTCTAGATGCAGTGATATTTTCCTTCATCTTCCCCTCAGCTCCCTCTTGTGTTACACAAAACTCCTTTTGGTGTTCTTGCAGGTAATTATTAATCATGTTTCTTCTTCAAGCTGGTGCACTTACACAGCTGTAAGTAGAAAGACAGTGTACTTTGTGTTTAAAACATAAGAAGTTATGTTAGTTTCTGGTTTACTGTGAATACTTCAAAATGCAGAGCACAGAACAAGCGTGTTTCTCAAGAGAATGTACACAAATTAATTGTGTAGTTACAGTAAACTGGAGGGATTTGCTGATTTTGTTTTACTTATTGGTGTTATTTACCCTATGGGACATCCGCATGGATTTTGTGCTTAAACATGATCATAGTTTAGAGTATGTGAAAATAACTTCCTACATTATCAAGGTGCATTGTAGAACTTAAGTGCCTTTCTGTAGTGTCATGCTATTTTGTCAAATATTTTAGTGAAATTTATCTTTGATAATTAGAGTCCTAGTTCTATATGCTTCTTTCCCAAGGTGAAAGTTTGTGAAATAATGATAGGAGTCTAGAAACATTTTTTTGTCAGACAAAAATGCCTATGTGCTATGATGACCAATGCTTTGTGAGTGGTTACAGTTCTTGAGAGAGAGAATATTGAATTTTGTCGCTCATTTTTGCCAGTGTGGTGAGGATAATCTTTGGTTGTTACTTCTATTAAAGCAATAGTCAGCTGCTAGCTGTATCTGTACATCTTCTGATACAAAAATAATAAATATATTACTAAATGTCTCATAGGAAACTTGTTCTTTACTAAACTGTGCCATATAAAATAACAATTCTTAGGGAGAAAAATAGTACAAAAGAGAGATTTCAAATAATATATTTTGAAATGAAATTCATTAGGCAATTTTATAAGAAAGTACTTTTTTTTTTTTTAAAGCTGACTCATATCTACATGCTACTGAGAAAAGTAAACTGTAACTTATTAGCTCTAACAGTTTTTAATTTTTATGGAATTAAATGTTCTAGTTTTCCAACGAGTCCAAACATGAGAAAAACATTTCTTAAATTTTAATAAAGAGAAAGGCAAGTTTGTAATATCACAATGTATTCTTGCTTTCTATTATTACTAATAAAAACATTTGTATGAGTATTGAGACTCTCCTATGGACTTTGAAAATTTGTTTATGTGATGAAAGACCCAAGAAGTTCACATGTGCTAATCTCTCTCTTCCCCCTGTGAATGTGCGTCTTTAATTTCCTTCTCTTTTTTCTCTGCCTATCATTTTTTAATAAGCAGTGGTCATTGTATCTTAGCAGAATTCAATAGTGTGTGTGCATGAAGCATAAAGTTAAATATGCTTATTGAATTCTGCATGTGAGGTGGGTTCAAAGGAAGTTCAAGAAATCTGTCAGGATTGCCCATGGTCTATTCTGTTTAGCCCTGTGTTTCTTCTCTTTCCTTTGTACTGTCTGAATGCTTGAGCTATCAAGACAGCTCAAGAAAACAATAATTTAAAGACAACAATAGTGGTTTGTTTTGTTTGTTTGTTTTGCTTTGATTTTGAAGGGGATCAGTTTCCCATATCTGCTCAGGAGTACTGTGACATCCACAACATTGCTAAATTGGCAGTAGAATTCAGTATGTTCAGATGCTGAGCACTTAGAACCCTTTCTAGAGAAAAATTGCACACTTGTGGTCTTGTAAATCTTCGTATATATTCACAGAGTAAACCATGTTGTTAGACTCGCAAAGAAACCTAATGGAATCTTGCTGTGAGCCTAGGAAAGAGACATTTTAGTCTGAGAAGATACAGAACTTGAGAATTTACAAGCAATTTAAGCAAAAAACAATGATATGACTATTCCTCAATTTCTGAATGACAGATGAACTTTAGACTGATAAAGTTTATCCCATGAAGTATCAGATTAGGATGTGCCATGAAGGCAAATTAGTGGGTAGACCTACCAATGAAATATTGTTTGGATTTCTCAAGTATTTTTTTGATTTTCATTGTTTACCACAATTCCTTTTTTTTTTTGTTTGTTTTTGTTTTGTTTTGTTTTGTTTTTAACATAGAAAGGCATTTCTCTTTTCCATCTTTATTAAAAACATT